CTTCCATTGTTCATTTTCTATTGCATGATCCTTTCAAGAGCATAGTTTATTCCATGAACTACTAATAGGTTTCTTCACTGTGTGACTAAAACCATCTCTTAGCAACTCAAATTCAAACTGGAGGTTGAAATTGGTAATGTGTACACAATGGCGCACCGTGCGAGGTTCGGCTTAGCCCAGGGTGTGTGTGTGTGCAAAGCGCGGTGAGGCGGCTAGCGCGACTCCACAGTGGTGTCATGGCCCGCATGGCCCGCTAACCTTGGCCCACCCCAACAGTGGCTGCGTGTCCTGGCCCGCGCGGCCCGCTAATCCCCCGGCCCGCCCCAACAGTGGCTGCGTGTCCAGTCCCGTCCGCAGACTGTCCGGCTTCTCCCAGTGGAAGCGAGTGGCTACCAAGTTGGGAGTCAAGTAAGTCAGCGGCGCTGCTCCCCTCCCGTCAGTCCGCACGCCATGTCCCTGCTCGAGCCTCCTCGCCCTTAGCTCCCCCTCCCCTCCTCCTCGTCCTCCTCGTCCTCCTCGTCCTCCTCCTGCTCCTGCTCCTCTTCCTCCTCCTCAGTGGTTACTGCTTGATTACCCTCGTGTGTAGAGCTAGTCAGCCAGTCTGCCTGCCTGCCAGCCAGCCAGCCAGCTGCCCCTGCCCCCGCCCCTGCCTAGGGCACTGACCCGAGTGCCCCGTGCCATGCCGCAGCTTTCGGCAGGTGTGTCTGGCGTCTCATCCACACCTTGCCACTGCAATCCGTCACCGCCAAAGTCTTTTCACGAGAAATGAAGGAGAAGAAGAAGAAGAAAATAGAAATTCGGACGCGACCCCACCACCGGCAACAGCTGCTGCAACGTGCATGTCGGTTGCAGTGTTACCTGCGACGCGAATCGGGATCATTTGGACGAGGCAGCTCCTGGTCTGTGTGTATCTTGGCCCTTGCAAGATCGAAGGATGTCGGTCTTATACTTGATTAGATTTATTAAAAAAGAGAGGATTTTAGGTAAAAAGACCGTGGAGTATGAAATTTACTAAAGCAGAAATGATTTTTTGTTTGTTAAGAAGACTGCGGAAGAGTGGAGTATAATGCCTCTGTGTACGTAGAAAAGATAGGACGAAAGAAAAGGAGAAAAATCATGTAGAATGGGATTAAATACAAATTACGGGAGGGTGGAATGAAGCATGAATATGAAAAGAGATAAACAAGGGAAAAAAAAGATAATACGGGGGGAAATGACCAGTCGGAATGGAAGAGCAAAAGCGCAGGAGGTGGGGAGAAAGTGAAGAGAAGCGAAGTGGAAAATGGGAGAAAATGATTAATGGAAGGTAGATGAGAGGGAGGGAGAGACCAGGAGGAGGAGGAGAATAAATACGCGCGTGTATGTGTGTGTAAAGAATGAAAGAGAGTGAAAGCGAAAATGAAAATGGGAACGAAAACGAGAATGAGAGGGAGAAGGAAAGAGAAAGAGAATGAAAGGGGGAGGGAAAGAGAATGATAGGGAGAGGGAAAGAGAATGATAGGAAGAGGGATAGAGAATGAGAGGGAGAGGGATAGAGAAGAGAAGAAGAGGGATAGAGAAGAGAAGGAGAGGGAAAGGGATAGATAATGAGAGGGAAAGGGAAAGAGAATGAGAGGAAGAGGGAAAAGATGAGAGAGAGAGGAAAGAGAAGAGAAGGAGAGGGAGAGGGAAAGAGAATAAAGGGAAGGGAGAGATGAGAGGGAGAGGGAAAGAGAATGAGAGGGAGAGGGAAAGAGAATGAGAAGGGAGAGGGAAAGAGAATGAGGGAGAAGGAAAGAGAATGAGAGGGGAAGGAAAGAGAAGGAAAGAGAATGAGAGGGAATAGGAAAGAGAATGAGAGAGAGAGAATGAGAGAATAAGAGACCGGGAGTGAGAGAAATGAGAGACAGAGAAAGAATGAGCGACCGAGTGAGAGAGGGATAGGGATAGGCCAGAAAGACCGAGAGCCAGGCATGACCCGAGACGGGACGGCGCCCGGCGGGAGAGGGCGCCCGAGAAGGCAGCGAGGCCGACCGTCGAGAGGGGTCGCCGCCTGGGGCCCCGCGAACGCCCGCCGACATATCCGCGACCCCGTGACCTGTCGCCGCCATTGCATCTGTTGCGTCTGTTGCGCGGGTGGTGGAGGAGCGCGTGGCGGTGTTGATGGGATGGTGGTGCAACAAGCATGCACTCCCGATGTTGCTCATGTTCTTGTTTTCCGTCGGACAATGTTGTGTTGTTGTTGTTATGTCCTATTCTAAAACAACAATATTCTTTTTTGGTATTTAAAAAAGTGTATTGAACTGCTATGTGTTTGTGTATTTCTTTCTTTTTTCTTTTCTTTCTTTCTTTCTTTTTGTTAGATCGTTTTATCCCCATGTTTGGAATGGATAATAATGATAAAAAGTATAAAATGCATTATTCATATCTTTGTTGATGGATTAATTGTCGTTTGGTGTAAAAAACGTAAACATTTCCGTTATTTTTCTAAGTAGAACTAAACAATTATGTTTTATACTTGTCTTTAATATACCCTGAATGAGCTATGCTGTGTATTGCGTGTCTGTGTTGGCATCATTGGTAATGAACGGTGCAACAGTAAAATGTTGCGCCATCCATTTTTCTTGTTATTATTTTCATTGATATTGTTTTGCATGACTTTGGAAAATCGTTGCCTTTCCGCTGGTTTATTTTTAAAAATATATAAAGAATAATGATATTTTTATGTCCTCCACACTCCCTTCCATTTTTTCATTGCTTCATGTTTGCTTTTGAATTTCAAATGATATATGTATTTTTTTACTTTCCCTTCGTTTCCATCCATTTAGCAGATATTCATTATTATTACCGTTGTTATTATTCTGATTATTATTACTATTATTATCATTATTATTATTATTATTATTATTATTATTATTATTATTATTATTATTATTATTATTTCGTGTCCATTGAATAATCTTGATTAATGACTTTGTGAGTATATAAACGTACTCTCCCACAGTTTAAGAGATCTCGGCAAACAAGATACTGATACTCCATTGTGTGAAGAATTTTGTTAGACTTTCGCTAGG